CCCGCCACGTCCACCTTTAGCTACACTCATGTACCTGAACCCTAATATGGTGCCTTGCATTACTCCCACCTGCAAGTTTATTTGTCAATCCCAACTCCCACACACCGTTAAGTGACTTACCGCGTTAACGTTTATTACTCGAACCGGGTTTGACTCGTCGGACACCCCAGCGTCATTTACAACAATATCCAAAGCCCCCCAGTGGGCAGTTGATACTTTAAACGCTTCTAAAACTGATCGTCCTTAAACATCCCAGAGTTTAAAAACTTACCCTCAAGTTCTCTTTCGTCGCTAACATCGGCTCGGATCCAAATCACTTTTCCACTCCCAAACTCCTCAGTTAGTAACCGAACGGCCTTACTTCCACGCGTTTCGTTAACACTGACCATGGTCACCCTAAAAGTGCACATGAGCGATTGCGTTGCCCGCTCGAGGGTTTACCTTCACTCCGTTGCGTAAAAGCTGGGTGGTGATACCGAAACCGATCCCTCGATTTCCCCCAGTGACCAATGCAATCTTTCCATTAAAATCGTAACTCCACGTTCTAGCGCTCTCAATTAGTGCCAAAAATGGTATGGCAATGCCTTTAATCATTGTTGAAATCCTGAAAATGACGGTTTAGCGTATTATCGTGTTATCAGCATAGCAAAGCCGAGGTAAGTTCAAAAACCACCTTGAGGACATTAACTTTTGAATGACATCATAAGTCATGACACCCAAACCACGGGGTCATTGACTTCTGGTTACCTTAAAAATAAAATATGACATCACAAAATGGGGTCCTGAACGGCGACCGATCTTTGGACTTTGAACGGTGAGCAACCTTTCAACGTCCTCGTCAGGAGGAGAGAGGGTCAACTTTGACGGCACCCGAATTATACATGAAATTGGTTTAGAATATACCTATTTGGCTATGGCTTCCTTTGGTCATGAGTGCTCAGTATGCACTATCCATGACCTAATACCATTCGAAACGCACAAATGCGGATTGGACTTTATAGTCGTTGAGCAAAGTTGAGATGGGCATACCTTTATGACAAAGGCTGGATACTTAACATCAAAAACAAAATCTACGAACGCAACCAAAGAAGGCAGACACTGCCGTCCTTCCCGGTAGCGGAGCCACTACCAAAATACCTAGAATTTTATTTTTAGAATTTGAATGTTTTTGTAATCAATTGGGGTTAGGT